GGGATGGCCACACCGCAATCCCTTCTCCTCCATTCTCCTCTCAGGATCTTGGGCATGCATGCACACACGCCTGGCGTGGGTTTTAAGCCACCAGGTCCAGGATGCAAACCAGAGTCGACTACGTGGGAGTCCAGCAACATAGCCATTATGCGAACTGCTGGTTCCCAGGAGTTTATTCTTAATACAAAAAAAAAAAAATGAAGTCTATGCATAGTTTCTTCATAATGTGCATTTTCCCATAAATTTTTGAAGACCCCTCATACACTTAGAAGACTTTTATAAGGCTTTCACAGTAGTTTCATTCACTATAGCCAAAAACTGTAAATAGTTCAAATGCCCATTAAAAGGAAGGACAGATAAATTGTGTTATACAATGAAATATTGCATAGCTTGAAAAAGAGCAAATTACCAATATACTAATACACACAACAATATGGAATTACATAGAACAAAAGAAGCCAGACACACACTATGAAAGTACAGATTGTATGATGAAGAACAGGTAAATGGAAACCAGCAGATGGAGTAATGGTTGCGTCACTGGACTCCCACATAGTCGACCACAGTTCAAGTCCCAGACCTAGTGGCTTAAAACTCACACTGGGCATGTGTGCATGCATGCCCAAAGTCTGGAAAGGAGAACAGAGAAGCAGGGATTGCAGCATGGCCATCCCCTCTGGAAGGTGATTTCTCACTTTATGTATATCAAGCACATGCATCCTATAGCAAAAATATCGCTAAAAAAATTTTTTTTAATAAAAAAAAAAAAAAGATAAATGGATCTATGTTGAAAGAAGTCAGAATGATGTTTACTTAACCCTGTTAGGGGAGTACTTCGAATTAACTGAGAAGGGTCCCCAGGGAATTTTTCTAGAATGATGAATCAAATCTTGATTTGTATGGTAGTCACATGGATAAATATATATATAAAAATCCACTAAGCTATATACTTAAGAAATATGTACTTTACTATATGCAATTTATATCTCAGTTTAAAAAAGAAAAAGGAAAAAAATCCTCATAAAGGTGTCTCTTACAAATTTTTTGTAAATCAGTGTCAAAGTCAAGCAATCTATTTTGTTCATCAGTGCCTATACAATGCCTAATACAGTGCCTAAACCAGCAGGTAGTGCAGAAGTAGCCAGATCCCACATGACCAAGAGCACGTTTCAAGTCCAGGACCCAGTGTTTTGAAAAACACACCCAGCACATATCCACACATGCCCAAAATTCAGAGAGAAGAAAGGAGGAAAGGGGACTGCAGCCACCTGGCCATCCCCCCTGGAGGGAAGGGGTGATTTCTCACTCTCTCTCTCTCTCACTGTCTCTGAGTCATATACATACCCTATACAAACCTAAAAAAAAAAAAATACAGTGCCTGGTACATCCATGATTACTGCAGCATGATTCACAATTGCTAAGACATGCAATCAACCCAAATGTCCAAGAACAGATGAATGGATTGAAAACCTGTGGCACATACACTATGGAATACTACTCAGCCATAAAAAAAAAATGAGACCCTGGCATTTGATAGAAAGTGGAGGAACATGGAAGATTTAATGCTAAATGAAGCAAGTCAGATTATGAAAAAGAGGTGCTATATGTCCCCACTTAATATATATCAAATGTCTGTACTCCATGGCAGAAAATGAAGGACTGGAAGGCATAAAAGCATGGAAAGCAACTATGGAGACCAGAAATAGCATGGAAGGAGGGCCAGAAATGGGGGCAGGAGGGAGAAAATCAGGGAGAAATAAAATTCAATGCACAAAAATACATGGAAAATTATCTGTTGATGACAATGTATATGGTAATTTCTTTAACTGGACTAACATACAGGGTATTCATGCAGAAAAATTTATTTTCAATGTTGCAAAGATATACAGAAACTGTAAAAAAATAAGAAAATTTTTAATTTAAAAAAAGAAGAAAAAAAGAAAAAAAAAGTGCCACAATGCCTGGTACACAGCAGATAGTTAACAGGTATTTTGGTTTGTGGGTTTTTTTGTTGTTGTTGTTGTTTTGGGGGTTGTTTTGATGGAATACTACAACTTTTAAATCAATTTTCCAATATTTTTAATGTGGTAAAATACACATGACATCAAATCTTTTTTTTCTTTTTTTCTTTTTTATTTTTGGAGACGTTTTTGCTATAGGGTGCGTGCACTCACAAGAAAGACAGAGAGAGACAGAGAGACAGAAAGTGAGAAATCACCCCCCAGGGGGATGGCCACGCCACAATCCCTTTTCCTCCATTCTCCTCTCGGGATCTTGGGAACACACGCACACGCGCCCGGTGTGAGTTTGAGCCACTGGGTCCAGGACTCGAATCATGGTTGACTACGTGGGAGTCCAGCAACATAGCCATTACGCTAACTGCTGGTCCCAACATGACATCAAATCTTAACCAGAACTAGGCCCATGGCATCACAGTTAAGGGAGTTGGATCCCACATGGCCAACTGCATGATTCAAATCCCAGAACCTAGTAGTTTGAAAAATACACCAGGTGCATGTATGTGCATGTTCAAAGTTCCAGCTAGATGGAGAAATAAAGAAAAAGACATGGCAACATGACCATGCTCCACTGGAGCATGCTTTCTCTCTCTCTTTCCTCTAGTGAGCACAGGTGTCCTCTGACATTTTTTTTTTTTAATTAACCATGTTTAAGTGTATGGTTCAGTAACATCAAGTACATTCATATTCTTTTTTAATTTAGCCAAGAGAGCATGTGCACTCCCTAAGAGAAAGAGAGAATGGGTGTGTGAGAAAGCACCTCACCATAGGGAATGCTCACACTGCAATTCCTCCTCCCTTTCTTCCCCCTTTCAGGATTTTGGACATGCACACACATGCATACAGCATGTTTTCAAGCCACTGGGTTCAGGACTCAAACATCACAGTTGGCCAGGTGGGATCTAGTCACCTTAACCACCATTGACTGGCCCACATTCATTCTATTTTGCAATCATCATTACAATTTATTTCCATAATCTTCCATCTTATAAAACTCTACAACTGTTAAACAACAACTATCTATTCTTGCCCTCCCTCCAGTCCCTGGTAATCACCTTTCCACTTTCTGTCTCGGATTTTGGCCACTCTAAGTATCTCAAATAAGTGAAATCACAGACTATTTGTCTTTTTGTGACTGGTTTAATTTATTTACCATAAGGGCCTCAAAATTCATCCATGTTTTGGCTTATAATGGAATTTCTTTCCACTTTAAGGCTGAATAATATTCAGTACATAAGTATTTTTGGATGAATGACTATAATTATCATGACTATAATTTATAAAAACAATAGAAATCTGCATCTTCCTTTCAAATATACCCCAAATTATAAAATCTTAAGACACTATATTGTTAACAGGAGGGATGAAATAAGCATAATCAAGAATACGCTCACCTTCTTTGGATCAAGATTCCCAAAAACTGAATTGGAATGGGGACAAACTTCAGACAGTGAGCAACCAATCTTCATAATATCCTTATTTCTATTGATATTCTAAAAAGAACATACAGTACAACATTCAGTAAAACATTTGACAATGTTATATATAATTGAAGGTTCTACTAAGCATGACACTTAAAAACTTTTGAACCATCAGAAATTAAATCAAATTCTTATACTGGGGCCGGTATGTGATATGGTGGGTATGGTGGCTGGACTCCCACATGGCTGACCATGGTTTGAGTCCTAGACCTGGCAGCTTGCTTTCTCACTTTCCTTCTATCTCTCTGGTCAACTTCAAAAAACTAAAATAAAATGACAATGAATAAAATTAAAATAATTCTTTAAAAAATTCTTATATCAGTAGTTTTACATCATTTAAACTGACTCTTCAAAAGACATAAGAGTAGGCTACAGGAAAAGTTTACCTCCAAGTGAATTCAAATTAGAGTTCAAACAAGATACCTAACATTATTAAATATAATATGAGAATACAGTTCTGTGCAGACTCACTGACTCCAGGGTTAGAACAGAGAAATGAAATGATTCTGGAACATCTGATGGCAGAGAGGTGCCAAAAGTAAAGAGGTGCTCAAAAAAACAAATGGCACATGCTGAGATAACAATTAGTCAACCTTTGTTCTTTAGTTCTTTGTCCTAATGGCCAAAGCTGAATAATTTAAACAATTATCACAGTTGATTATAACCCATGAATAAATATTCATGAGTCTACATATAAAATAAGTAAAATGCAAAGAAAACTCTTCCTTAGAGAAGAATTTCAATTAATAAGAAATGAGGAGTGGGGCTTGCAGGTGGCATAGTGGTTGAGGTGCTAGACTCCCACATGGCTGACTGTAGTTCAAGTCCCAGACCTGGTAACTTACTTTCTCACAATCTCTCTCTGGTCAAATTAAAAAATAATGAGAGTAAGTAAAATTAAGTGATTTTTTAAAAATAAGAAATGAGGGTTAATATAAAAATCATCATTAGGCAAACATCATAGTAGCAGGGAGTAGAGACAGCCAGTAAGACCAACTGAGGAAATAAACTGCCTCAGGACCTCTTACTATCTTCCAACTGCCCTAGGTACAACCCAGACTGGCTGCTCCTACCTCCCTTCGCCATCATTACCCCCCAGAGCCTGCTCTGAGAGCAGGGAATAGTTACAGCTAATGAGACCTACTGAGGCAGCAAGAATGCCATAGACCTTTCACTGCCTTCTGACCCAGGAATATTTTGAGACTTCATACTTTTCTGACTCCTACTCCCTCCTCCATTAAAATCCTCCAACTCAACCCAGGTACACCTGCTCCCGAGAGAGAGAGAAACAAATCAACATCTAAAGCTGGCTATATACACATTTCTCTGACTGGAAGACAAGGGGAAGAACATGTCAGAGAAGAGCTCTTCTTCTCCCCTGAAAGTATAGAACTGACACCAGGAAAGTAAGAACTGAGAATCCATCAGATAACTAAAATCCAGCACAGAGGCACAAGAAATATGGGAAAACAAGGAAACACCTCTTCTTCAATGAAACAGAGCAACTCTTCTTCAATCATAGACAGCACAAAAGAATTTGCGGAAATTTCAGAAGTAGAGTTCAGAATATTCGTGCTGACAGAGATGAAGTCTTTCCAGGATTTGAAGGTTATGAAAATATTGATAGCAGACTGGACCACACAGAAGAGAGAATCTCTGAACTGGAAGACAAAACCTTTGACTTAGATAAAATCACCAAAAATAATTTTTAAAAATGAAGATATATGTGAAATATTAGACACTATCAAATGCACAAATATCTGAATTATAGGAATTCCAAAAGACAAAGAATCAAACAAGAGCATAGATCTTATCAATGAAATATTTGTAGAAAACTTCCAAAATCTAGAGAAGCATTCAGTCATCCACACAAGAAATACAAAGGACCCCATCTACATGAGAAATACAAAGGACCCCAAATAGAATCAACATAAGAAGATCCTCACCATGCCACATAATAGCCACAATGGTAAAAAGCATAAAAACAATATTCTAAAAATGGCAAGAGAGAAACAAGTCACTTAGAAAGGTTATGCTATTAGGCTAACATCAGACCTCTCAACGAAAACAATGCAGGCAAGAAAAGAATGGGAAGATGTATTTGAAATACTAAAAGAAAAATGATTCCAACTAATACTATACCCAGCAAGATTATCCTTCAAATGGGACGAATGAATAAAATCATTCTCAGAAAAACGAAAACTGAAAGAATTCACCAATACTAGACCAGCTCTTCAAGAAGTACTCAAGGGAGGACTATATATATCAGAAAAACTAAAAAGAGACAGACAGAAATAAGAGAACAACAACAACAACAACAACAAAAACTGAACAAATGGCTAACAAAAGGCAGGGACAAATTGGCAAATATTGATAATAACATAGAATGTTAATGGATTAATTTATATAATCAATGGGCCAGAAGATGGTGTAGCAGTTACATTGCTGGACTCCCACATATCAAACCACAGTTCAAGTATCAGACCAAGTGGCATGAAAATCATGCTAGGCACATGTGAACGTGTGCCAAGATCCCAGGAGAAGAATAGAGAACGGATTGTGGCATAGCCATCCCTCCCTAGAGGAGGTGATTTCTCACTTTCCCTCTCACTGTATCTATCTGTCTCTCTCTCCAGCAAGCACACATGCCCTAAGGCAAAAACCTCTTTTAAAAAATCAATCAAAAGACACAGACTAGCTGAATGGATAAAAAAAAAAAAAAAAAAAAAAAAAACATTTGCTGCCTACAAAAAACACACCTCATAGATAAAGACATACATAGACTAAAAGTGAAAGACTGTATAAGATATTCCACACAAATGGAAACCAAAATAAGGCTGAAGTTGGGATACTGAATCAGACAAAGTAGGCTTTAAGAAAAAAACTGTAAGAAGAGCCAAAGGACAATATACAGTACTAAAAGAGCTAATTAACCAAGAAGACATAACACTTATAAATATCTATGCATCTAATTCAGGAGCACCCAAATACATGAAAGAAAGATGGCTAGATCTAAAGGAAGAGATAGACTGCAACATGATAATTATTGAGGATCTCAACACCTCACTATCTCCTTTGAATAGATCAACTAGACAAAAAATAAGCAAAGAGATCCAGGATCTAAACATCATATATGAAATGGACTTGACAGACATCTAGAGAACTTTCTACCCAACAACCACAAAATACACATTTTCTCATCCTTGCACAGAACCTTTTCAAAACTTGACCACATAATTGGGCACAAAACGAGCCATTACAAATTCAAAGGCATGGAAACTATATCAAGCATCTTCTCTGACCATAAGGGAATGAAACTAAAAATTAATTTCAGAAAAATCCCTTGAAAATACACGAACATATGGAAATGAAGCAATCTACTCTGGAATGACTTAACAACCACTAAAGAAGTTAAGACTGAAATAAAAAGATTCATTGAAATCAACGATAATGAATGCACGAGATTCCATAATCTCTAGGACACAGCAAAAGAGTCATAAAAGGGAAATGCATAGCAATTAGTGCACATAAGAAAAGGATGGAAAGGTGGCAAATAGACAACCTAACAATATACTTCAGGGAACTGGAAAAACAACAACAACAAATGCCAGGGTAAAAGAAGTAATAAAGATTCAAAGGGACCAGTAGATGGTGTAATGGTTACGTCACTGGACTCCCAAGTAGTCAACCACAGTTCAAGGACCAGACTCAGCAGCTTAAAACTCATGCCAGCCCACGTGCATTCATGCCCAAGGTCCCAAGAGGAGCCTGGAGGAGAGGGGAGAAGGTGTGGCCATCCACCCTGGGGGATAATTTCTTGTTTTCTGTCTCTATGTCTCTCTCTCTCCAGCAAACACATGCACCCTATCGCAAAAACACTCTCTCTAAAAAAAGACATAAGAAAGATTCAATCAAAAATAAATAGAGAAAATCTGGATCGAGCCGGCCAGTAGTTCCAGACACCAGGCGGACTGAGGCTGCAGGCCTGACCCTTCCGAATCTCCACGCATCCCCACCGTTCTTCCTCCTTGGACCCCAGGTTGGTTGCCTGGGACTTTAAGGCGAACCCCCACCACACCACACCCGCAAAGCAGTTCTGGACACCAGGCGGACTGAGGCTGCAGACCCGACCAACCTGGTACTGTCACTCATCATCTGATCCTTTTCCACTAGCTTTTGGACTGTTTCAATTTTGGTGATTTGAGTAGCACATGGCGCGCAACGCACGATTTACTTTTTCCATTTTGTTTTTCTTTGATCTTGGGGTGTTACTTATTAGGTCAGTTGAAGGCTCACCACTGCTTAGAAACAACGAGGACT